GATTACTTCCAATCAATGAGGTGCAAAACCAGACTTTGGGCCTCAGAAAAAATGTGAATTTTCAATCTAGGTTATGCAATAAGTCCTCTGGTGCGACTCCGGCTCCAGGAGGGACTTGAGTTAGGTTAGTTTCCTCCATTAATATGTATGTACTCCTTGTGCGTATTTCAGACGGGGAGCATGGCAAGCCACTATGTAGTCCTTACATGTGTGTCACAACTAGCTCTCATCTGAGACTCTGACAATTCACTCTGATCAGAGCTCTCATCCATCTTTTTTGATTGGTTACATACAGGCATCATTCTCATTGCCATGTATTTGTGAGACGTGTGAAATGTTGCACTACAGGATGCTTTGTGATTCGGGCTCAAAGGCCGGCTCACTGCTTGAGGTTTGTCTATTTAGCTGGCCACCTCTCCCCTTCCAATTGTCTTCTTGTTCCTCACAGCTGCACACTTCCTCCTTTGCCATCGTTCAAGAGGGCTTGATCACCCAACCACCACTAGATTAGTTGATGACTCCCAATGGACATCCGCTGACGGTCCTTGGGAGTCATTGACTAATTTTTGGGAGTCATTTTTCCAAGCCCCCTTTTTTTGACACGGCCAGATATCTTGTGTATTGAAGACATATTTGGTGGGATCATCCCTGTGAGACAATACACAATACTTGTCTCCCATTCCAAAGACAATACTTTTGGATTGTCTCAGGAAAGTGAGACAAACAAGTATTGGTATTTTTGGGTATTCAAATTCTGAGACAATACAAATAAACACTGGGTATTGTCTCTTCTCACCTCTGTTTCAGTGTTGCCACTAAGGTAATAAGTCCTTCCAAGTTGGGTTTGGGTACTAGAAAAAAAAGTATGAATTTCAGATTCATACGTTTTTTTTTTTCAGTTTTTGGCTTCTCAAGGGTCACTGGTGCAACTTCATGACTATTGAAGACATGTGTAAAAATTCTTAGCTCAGGATAGGAGCAAAGATTTTGAACAGACTCAGGTGTCACTTTTTGAAGGGCAAAAAAGTGGTCAAACTCAAATCATGAGGAGAACAGATGATTTTTAATTTCTTGCACTAGGCTAGGTTAAATAGACTAGATACAGGAGTTTGAGCTGTGGCTGTGAAGAAAAATGAATAATAAGAAAATGAATAGAAATAAATGTAATAATCTAGAATAAAGAAGAGGGTACAACAACCAACACCAAAAATGAACCATCTACAACCTAGTAGGTAAGCAGACACACATGAGAGAAGTTAGGCCCTCCTTAGTCAGGGTTCTAAGACTACAAGCTAGGGGGTTTTGAATTCATAACAGGGTGATAAGTCAGACTAAATTAAAAGGGGGAGATATCATAGTGGTTATGGAGTAGATCCTATTGATCATTCTAAACTAATCCTATTGATCATTCAAGACAAGAGACAGAAGTAAGAAAATTAGAAGAGAGGAAAGGAAAGAGACAAAATTCCAAGAACATGTTCAAGATGCACCTTTCTCTTGTACATGTACTGATATGGAAACCATTCTGTTGAGTTTTAAGTAATGTTGTGAACCTGTCACGTAAAATTCCCTGCCTTTCAGTTATGGACTGCGGATTCATTGAGAACTCGGAACCACTTAGGGCAAAACAGTCTAGCCAGAAATCCTCAATCACTACCAATTGCTCTTCAATCAGCAAGTCTCCGAGCAATCAAACCGGTGTGGCGACGGGAGCGCGCCTCGGCCAAAGCTTTGGCCGGTTTGTTTGGGGGCATGCGGAATGCTCACGGATGATGCAGAAAGCACGCGGAGCTGACACTACGCAAGCAGGCTGAGGAAAGCGGCGGTGCATTAGTGGAAAGTCTAGCTTTCTGAGGCGCGGGAAAGCGGGGAAAAGTAGATCGAATGCGCAAGGTTCTGAAAAGCTTGCTGCGGGGAATCCGGGCACCGACGGACACCGGGGTTCACGGGCGACTGCGGAACGGGGGTTCAGCATATACTGCGCAGGGGGCTACAAGGAGCGGGGAGCACCGAGGGGCAGAAGTGGGGTTTGGAGCGGACCAGAGGCGGAAGCGGCGGTGGGAGACCTGCTTATGAGCGGCTGGAGAGTACCTGGACCGACAGGCGTCGGAGGGTGACATGCGGAGTCCGAGGGGGTACAGCGGATGACATTGTGGAAGCAGGGAGGAACTGGAGTGTGGGATACTTGGGAGGAGGGGAGTCGGAGCAGAAGAGGGAGAGGAGGGAAAACTTATGACTCAGAACATATCAGAAAACAGAGTGACTTAGGAGTGATCGTGTATAGCTAAAGATTGTAGAGATAGACTAGAGTAGAGGGTACTACTAAGATCATACAAGAGTATTAC